AACAGCTGAGCTTTTTTCTAGTTTTGCCCAAAGTTGTTGAACTTTTTGGCAAAATCACACACAAAAAATGCTGCCATGGGCTGCCATACATTCGGATTTTCCTGGACATTTTCCTGATTTCCGCCTGGACACTGCTGCTGACTGCAGTATTCCAGATATGTTCAGGAAAATCCAGACGTATGACAACCCATCTGGATGAATAAATTTCAAGGTTTTTGCTTCAGCCAAAATCAGGTCCAATAGATACAATATGATGAGTGGCTCCATTGTTCATTGCTAAAAAGACCCTTATGCCGTTTATAATCCAATTCTACATTCACTTAATCAGGCCACATTCACACCATGCATTGAAAGTACTGTGATACCTCTTTAAACAGTCATGGTCCCCCCCAAGGAATTCTGTGGGCTGTAGGGGTTTTTTTCCTGGGTGCTGAGAGTTGTTAGGAGACCCTTCACAGAGCTACAGTTACCAGGATGGTTTAAGAATCAATCCATCTTCACAGGGAACTCTGGGAATTGTAGCTTTAAATGCATTTTGTGAATGTGGCTTCAGAAGTAAAGTCCTTACTGTGTTCGGAGGAGATTCCTCACATGTAGCTGTTCACAGAATTATAGACCCGTGTTCTTAATCTAATGTTACAACTTGACAAGTGTTTTGTTTTGTTTTACCTGCAAAGTTTGTTTCTATTTTATTTCTTAAGGATATACCGTATTTTTCGCTCCATAAGACACACTTTTTTCCCTTGTAAAAAGTAAGGGAAATGTCTGTGCGTCTTATGGAGCAAATGCGTGGTCCCTGCAGTCGAATTGCCCAGGGGCAAAAAGGAGACCGTGCTTTTTTTAAAGAAAGAGGGAAGGGGGTGTTGAAACGAAGCCGCTGAGCAGCTGATCGGCAAGCGATCAGGAGGGAGATAATGGACGCTAGTGATAAAGGAGGCTGCCTGGGAGGGGGAAGGTAAAAGCACATAGATTCCTCAGGATTTTTGCATTGGGTCACCCCAAATTCACCGTCAGATCACATAGCATGTCCATGGCTACAGCCTGCACCCAAAAAATCATGCATCCACTGTTTTGTGGGGCCGCAATGGTGCAAAAACGTGGTTAGAAAGCACGGATCCACATGGATTCTCAGGATTTTTGCACTGGGCTACCCCAAACTCACCGTCAAATCACATATCATGTATGTGGCCACAGCATGAACCACAACAATCATACATCCACTGTTTCGTTCAGAATATTTTTTTTCTTGTTTTCCTCCTCTAAAAACTACGTGCGTCTTATGGTCAGGTGAGTTTTATGGAGCAAAAAATACGGGGTGTATGTATACAAACACACACAATTTTTCTTGCTTATTAGATTGTCGGTTGTCTTGAAAACCGGTACATGAAGCTGTAGAGCTGACTTGTAAATAAACAAATATGACCCTTCAGATTATTAAGGCTGCAAATGAAAAAGCACTGGCCTGGCAATGAGCCCCACTGAGTAGAGACCTCTGGCTCTTTCAGGTTAGGAATATATCCCAGGTTCAATCCCTGGTTTCTCCAGGAAGGGTTGGGAAAAGCCTCCCTGCCTGAAACTTAGGAGAGCAGCTGCCAGTCAGTGTAGACAGAACCAAGGTAGATGGGCCAGTGCTCTGACTAGCAGTAGCGGCCTGCTGGGACAGAGTGAGGACGGCACTTGCTGACCTCCCTGCTGCCTCTGCATTGAGAAGCCAGCTAAGAAATGCCATCACATCCTGCTCCACCCTGCAAACCACTCCTGGTTAGGGATCAGGCAGTTTAGCATGTTTCTAGGTCAGTGCCGGAAACTAGTCATTTCCAACAAAATCACCCGTTTCCTAATTATAGGATTGAGGATAATGCTGGCTGGTGAGCCTCACAGGAAGCCGCTTTTTCTTTGAAATTATGGACGGGGAAGGAACACCTCTCCTCCCTTGTGGACCTTTCCTCCTTGTGCCCTGTAGTCCCAATGAAAGCCAGCCACTCCCTCTGCCTAATGATAGGGCCGGCACTGCTTGTAGGCTGCTTCCAGATGGACTGCTTATTGAGCAAATCCATCCTGATTTGTTCGCAGGGAGATTAGTCGGCGTCGACTATTTAAGGAACTTCCCTTCTGATTGGTGGAGAGGTTAGATGACGCATCTCGCGTTTCCCATTGCATCTTCCCACCCAGTTCTTTATTTGCAAAAAGTCTGGTCCTTTGGATAAGTGGGTTTGTTGCGCAAGGCTATAATGTTGCAATCGGAATTGCCATGTGCTTTAATCCCATCCCGAAACATCAGGGGAGAGTGCTCTTATGCTCAGATCCTGCTTGTCAACTTCCCATAGGCATCTGTTTGGCCAGTGGGAGCAAGATACTGGAGTTCGATGGACCATTGGCCTGAACCCTCAGGACTCTTCTTATGTTATTTATACATGTGTATAAACTGTGTTTATGGAAACTTTTGTAGAAACTATCAGCCAAACTAAAAATGTGGTTTGCAGGATAGTCTTTTGGGATGTGGGTGGTGCTGTAGTCTAAACCACAGAGTCTAGGGCTTGCTGATCAGAAGGTCGGTGGTTCGAATCCCCACAACGGGGTGAGCTCCTGTTGTTCGGTCCCAGCTCCTGCCAACCTAGTAGTTCGAAAGCACGTCAAAGTGCAAGTAGATAAATAGGTACCGCTCCAGCGGGAAGGTAAATGGCGTTTCCGTGCGCTGCTCTGGCTCACCAGAAGTGGCTTAGTCATGCTGGCCACATGACCCGGAAGCTGTCTGCGGACAAACGCCAACTCCCTTGGCCTATAGAGCAAGATGAGCACGCAACCCCAGAGTCGTCTGCGACTGGACCTAACGGTCAGGGGTACCTTTATCTTTACCTTTAATATATATATATATATATATATATATATATATATATATATATGCAGGTTTTGGTGTCCTCGGGTGTCTTCCCGTGTAAAAGTTGGGGTGTCTAGGCGACGTTTCGACGAGGTCTCACTCGTCATCTTCAGGCTGGTGCTTTCGGCTTCTTGTTACTGGAACAGAGCAGGATCTCAGTGTTTGAGTTCCTATAAATACTGTTGAGGGGGTGTGGTGTATAGCCTCCAATGTTCTGGGCAGAGAGGAAGTTCCCAGGTTAGTGTGCCTTTTCTTCTTTTGTTCCTTAATTACTTGAGGGATATCTTGAGTGATCCCTCAAGTAATTAAGGAACAAAAGAAGAAAAGGCACACTAACCTGGGAACTTCCTCTCTGCCCAGAACATTGGAGGCTATACACCACACCCCCTCAACAGTATTTATAGGAACTCAAACACTGAGATCCTGCTCTGTTCCAGTAACAAGAAGCCGAAAGCACCAGCCTGAAGATGACGAGTGAGACCTCGTCGAAACGTCGCCTAGACACCCCAACTTTTACACGGGAAGACACCCGAGGGACACCAAAACCTGCATTCCTGTACCCGTGAAAATCTACGAAAGCAAATATATATATATATATATATTTGTAATCATAATATGCACAAACTCTTTAAATGTTCCTGTTCAGTCAGGCCTTTGACATCCAATGTCTTTTTAAATGTTACAATGCCTGTTTCAAATGGTTACAAATCCATTTGTGTACTATTGTTTTTCAAAACTCAGTCAATATAAGTTTTGCCAGGTTTCCTTATACATTTGAGTAACCTGTCTTGAGGATTTGGGGATGGAATTTGAAGCATGAACACACACCAGCATTCCACGATGCATTTTCAACCTCAGGGTTTTGTCTAAATACCGATCAGATTTGGTTTCGCTCTGTGGCCTTTCTTGATGAATACAGGTTTTGGTGTGCTTCCTCAAGGGCAATTAGTAATAAGGTAGCCATGCCAAGATCAAACAATGGCAGACATATCATAGCCAGGAGAGAGGGAATGAATATCATACCAAAGAGCTTAAAGAGATGACTAGTTCAGAAGAGTAGGAGATATCGCACTGTATTTTTTATTTTTATTTAATATTCCTTCCAGTGCCCAACTATAGCTGCTGCATACCAGCTTGGCTTGTGACCACAACAGAGCTATAAAGCAACAGAGGAGGAGAGAGAGGAATCTGGAAGTTCCTTTGGTTCTGATCTGAGTTTGGTGGCTAGGTGGCGCAATCTGCCTTAGGTGTTTCAGCACATTGTTTGGTCTACCTCTCTCTCTCTCTCTCTCTCTCTCTCTCTCTCTCTCTCTCTCTCTGTCTTGTGCCTGACTTTGCAGATCTTCCATTTGCTTTATTCAATGGCATATTGATTCCTCTTCTCTAAGGGTATCCTGTATATATCTGTTTCATCCTACTTGTGCGAACTTTTTACCATCAGATATTGTTTACCATACATTGATAAATGTTTCCTGCAAAAAAAAAATTAAAAAAAAATTCTTGCATTTCATATTGTTAAGGGCTCTGCGCTTCCAACAAATAATGAGGACTCCGGAGGTCGTACAACAGAATTTATTTTCCTTTGGATGAAAGAGCACTGAAATATTATGATGCGTTTGTAATATCTGTTTATTTACAAATATACAAATAATAGCACAGCAGAAGCAAATAAGCACTAGTATAGCGTGCAGCAAATCCACTAGCTTGCATCAGAATCCTGGAAAGACTCACTGCATCCAAGGTGATTCACCTTCAGCCAACTTGCAGCTCCAAAATTCTCTTTCTCTTCCTCTCTGGTTCTTTCTAAAGCCAAATTGCATGCTACATACAGATTGTGTTCTTCACACACCTGCTGGAAGGAGTCACCATCCCACAATCTGTTGAGTATTACATTCCAATGGCTGGAGAGAGATTCCCAGCTATCAGGTGAAAATCTCTTGTCATCAGTTCCCACTAAAGAAACATCAAGCAATCATTCTGGACTCCTAGCAAGCTATCAGGGAGAGATGTGAAACCACATTGGCAAGTCTGTCTTATTGTACTGTAGTTTTAGTAAACCGGGTCCCTACAGGACGCTTGCTATTCTCTTGGTTGCATATTTATTAAAGGTTTCTTCCCTTGCCTGGGCAAGGGCCAGTGGTATACAGTAGTAAGGCAATAGTAAGGGTTAGACAAGTTGTGGTCCCTCCAGATGTTTCTGAGCTACAATTTCCATCATCCCTGGACATTGGCCATGCTTGCTGGGGCTGATGGGAGTTGTAGTTCCACAAGATCCAGAGGGACAAAGGTTCTCCACACCACGTCAAGTTATATGAATGGATATTAGCTAAGAATAGAACCTTAAGAGGCAGTCTGCACACCAGACTCTGGAACCACCAGACTCTCAGAACCACAGCAGATGTCCAGCAAGGGTTAAGATGTCCTGGCCTGGTTGTCAGGAAATGCATGGTCCTTATTCCAAAATATTAATAATCTGAGCCCTGCAAAGTGTAGGAAGCAGAATGTCCTGAGTATATGTTAATTCAAGCAGCAGCAACCGAGCAGGTCGGTTACTTGGCACATTCCCATCTGATTATACCATCTCCATTGCGTGGCTTCTCAAAATTTCCCGCACGGCATAGCATGTGGAACATAGCTTCCTCCTGACCCACATGTGTTCTGCTGTTGAGATCTTCTCATTTTCAGACAGTAGCAGACCTTAGAAAAATGAAAAAGGAGTTAGTACATTAAGTTATGTTCACCTAGCGACAGCCAAATCTGTCAGTTTCAGTTTCTTGTTTTCCCACCTCTTTCATTCATTTCTCCATATGTCCATGTCAGTTTGTGATTTTTTTAAAAAAAAAACCTCATGAAAATTCACCTGCATTTTTTGCATACAATTTTGCCTCCTATGCACATTTTTGCAAAGCAATTTCCCTTAATATAATGCATTTTTGTATGCTATTTTCACGAATGTGTGCATTCTAACGCTCATTTTACCCTAGTATATGCATTTTTATATTCATTACATTACTGAAGAACGACATTGCAGCATTCATAGAAGTGCGGATTTTGAAGGAGGGTTGGGTTTCAGTTCATGACTTATTTCAGGAAGTGTGGATCAGAAAGATTCACCTTCAAATGCAAACTAAATCTAATGTCATCCCAATCCCTCTGCTCACCTCCCTTTTGTCTTACTATATTTTTTTGGAAATGGCTCCCCCTGGAGACAGGGAGGAGGAATACACAATTGTGTTGATTTTTTTCCTGCTCTCTATGCCTGCTAAGGGGATAGCAACAGGGCCTGTTACAGCTGAATTCCACCCACTATTCTGCTGTTCTGTACTTTCGGAATGATTTCTAGATTGAAACTTGGTTGGGACAGCACTCAACTGGAATTCGGGGAAGGGTTCGTCATAATTTCTCCAAGGGAAAACTGAACGGCTTTCCCTTCTGTTTCTTTTTGACACCACTGTTTACAATCCTTTCCCCAGCTGAGAAACATGAAACTTTCAGCTCCCCCTTTCAGTGAACTGTTGGCCAACAAAAGGACCTTGTCATTAAGAATAAGTGCCCAACTTTGCTTCCTTCCTCCTTCCTCCTTCCTCCCAGCTCCTTTTCCTTTTAGGTCATATATTTTAGATTTGCGAGCCTGAGGGCAGGGGCTCATTACTGGATCACTGTGAGCCACTCAGAGGGACATTTGGGGTTCAAGAACAGGGATTTTAAAAAATCCTTCAAAGAAATGAATTCAGGAAATGCTCCTTGCAAGGGGCAGAAACATGGGAATTGTGGGAATGTCCATGTATGTTTTCCATTGTGATGCATCTGACATACCTCCCTCAAGCTGACTCACACATACACCTAGGATCAGATGAGTGAGCACAGGACCTCTGCAGGGAAAGTTCCCATAGTCCCATTTTCTCACCCCCAGGAGCAGATTTGTCTCCTTCTCCTCCTTCTCATCCCCTAATCCACTCCCCCCTCCCCCCATGGTGATCAGTGCGGTGACAACCTTAAAAAAAAACCCATATCACATAAAAAGGTAAAGGTAAAGGTACCCCTGCCTGTACGGGCCAGTCTTGCCAGACTCTAGGGTTGTGCACTCATCTCACTCTATAGGCCGGGAGTCAGCGCTGTCCGCAGACACTTCCGGGTCACATGGCCAGCGTGACAAGCTGCATCTGGCGAGCCAGCGCAGCACACGGAACGCCGTTTACCTTTCCGCTGGTAAGCGGTCCCTATTTATCTACTTGCACCCGGGGGTGCTTTCGAACTGCTAGGTTGGCAGGCACTGGGACCGAACGACAGGAGCGCACCCCGCCGCGGGGATTTGAACTGCCAACCATGCGATCGGCAAGTCCTAGGCGCTGAGGTTTTACCCACATATCACATACTTACTGTTAAAGCTGTTCCAACGATCGCCATGCCTGCACCAATACAGCCCAGAACAATCAGGGAAAGGGCCCAGGGTGCAAGCGACACATGATCTGAAGCGGTTGTAGGTTCTGTAGGACAAAGGAAAGCTAGAAGGAGAACAAATCGAAGCCAACACCCTTATTATTCTCCAGCCTACTGATTTGCAGCATAACCCATTTCTCAGCGTCCGATCACCGGGCAAGGGAAGGGTTGCTCCTAAGGCTAAGCAAACTTTAGATTCTAAACGACTATCCAATGACCGCATCCCTAAAATCTGCTCTAGAGGGTTTGAGGGACCCTTTGAGAAAGCCTGAGAGGTGGTGTAGAGCTATGGGGGTGGGGGGTGGGGTGAAGGTGGAATTAGCAATCATTGCCTCTCTCCCAGCACTGCTGATGAAAGACTCCACTGCTGTCATGTACTGAGTTGAATAGGATCCAAAATGCAGCAGTCTGATTGGTCCTAGAACAATAGGATCCAAAATGCAGCAGTCTGATTGGTCCTAGAACAATAAAATTCAGAATGCAGCAGTCTGATTGGTCCCAGAACAATGCAGCAGTATGATTGGTCTGCAGGAGCCACCCAATCCAGCTCCAGATGGAAGTGAATCCACAACCTGATTGGCCTACAGGAGAATCCTGGAATTAGCCAACCACGTGCAGCCCATTGTGTAAATAATGTATATAAAGCAGATACTTTGGGGGAACATTCATTCCTCCTCACCACTATCAGCTGAATAAAGAGCATGAAATCCACTCTCGACTCCAAGTATATTTCAACTGCCAAGGATCTCAAAGTAGCATGCATCGTTTTCTGCCCTTCATCGTATCCCAACCCTGCGTGGTAGGCTGGCCAGCCCAAGGTGAAGCCCAGTGGGCCTTCATGGCCAAGTGGGGATTTGAACCGGAATCTCTGCAGCCACCGTCCCACTCTCTAATCACTCTCCAAGGCTGGCTCTCTCTGAGTTACATTGGAATCAATCTTACCATGGGTGGTGCTGGTGGTGGTCGGAGTTGTGGTGGTGGTTTCTGTTGGCAGAAAACAAGGGGCAAGGACATGCATGAATGCTGCAGAATGTTGTTTCAGCTTGCAAGCGGAGAATGAAAAAGGACTTTACTTGGTGAAATGATGCCAGGGTGACTAGCTTGCTGTTGCTGACCCTACTCTGGGTTGTAGTCCTATGTCAGGGACCGCTTCTTACCTCAAGGACTACCACTCCCCATATAAACCAACCCAGACTCTTGGTTCATCATCTGAGGCCCTTCAATTGGCTCCTCCACGAGAGGTCTGGAGGGTGGCAACATGAGATGGGCCTTCTCTGCAGTGGCTCCCCATTTGTGCAATGCTCTCCCCAGGGAGGTTCGTCTGAAGCCTTCATTATATATCTTTAGGCGCCAGACAAAATGTTCCTCTTCAACTTCAGCTGATTGACATCCAATGTCCTTTTAAATGTGTTGGGGGCAGTGCCGGATTTACGTATAAGCTAAACAAGCTATAGCTTAGGGCCCCACTCTTTTGGGCCCCCCCCAAAAAAAAATTAAAGGGAAAAAACTCAGATGTACATTTCCAAAATAGAAGATAATAAACAAATAAAATAAAACCTACATACAGCAACATTGTATTGTGTTGTGTAGGCTCCTATGATGCTAGTAATGGGCCCCGCCAGCTCGCCTGCTCCCTAAAGTATCACTGGTTTGCTCATTTCTATATAGAGGGTGCCTACATTCTGCATGGACTGGTTGCATGGCAACATGGGCAAATGGCTTTAGATGCCTGTTAGGTCCATAAATGACCATATAGCATAGATTCAAAACCAAAAACAGCGACAATTCGTTGTTGACAAAGGACAGCTGGGCATATAAAGGGCCCCATTATCTTCAGTAGCTTAGGGCCTCATCAGACCTAAATCCAGCCCTGGTGTGTTTGTTTTGCTCTTGCTTTTATTGTATCTTTTGTGTTTTTACTTTATATTTTTAACACCCCTGAGATCTTCAGATGAAGGGTGGTGTACAATTTGTGTGCACACGTATATATATATAGTCTATTAGGAGGCCACAGTTTGAATTCCTTTTCAAGCAGGCTGGTTAATATCCCACAGCCTTCTAATTGTATCTGTGGTGGGGAGGGGGCTTATTGTTTTGCTGTCTCGGTTTAATTATTTACTTGTGGTTTACGTTGCATTTATTCTGTGAACTGCCTTGCGGTCTCTCGATGAAGGGCGGTGTAATAAATAATAAAATAAAATAAAAGTAACTTTCTAATCACTCTACCAGGATGGCTGTCTATGAGTTACATTGGAATCAATCTTACCAGTAGTGGTAGTTGTCGGAGTCGTGGTGGTGGTGGTCGGAGTTGTGGTGGTGGTGGTGGTCGGAGTCGTGGTGGTGGTGGCTTTTGTTGGCAGAAAGCAAAAGCAGGGACAGACATGAATGCTGTGGAATGTCATTTCATCTCGCAAGAGGACAACATAAAACGACTTTACGTGGTGAAACGTTACCAGTGTGACCAGCTCTCTACAGCTGACCCATCTCCAGGTTGTATTACAGTGGTACCTCGGCTTAAGTACTTAATTCATTCTGGAGGTCCGTACTTAACCAGAAACTGTTCTTAACCTGAAGCACCACTTTAGCTAATGGGGCCTCCTGCTGCTGCCACACCGCCAGAGCACGATTTCTGTTCTCATCCTGAAACAAAGTTCTTAACCTGAAGCACTATTTCTGGGTTAGCGGAGTATGTAACCTGAAGCGTATGTAACCCGAGGTACCACTGTATAAGAGAAAAGGCACAGCTTTTGCTTAAATGTGGGGTGGTAGAGTGGGGAGGCAAAAGGTGGGGCTGTGGCAGAAAATATCTCCCGCTGTATTTCATAGCAGTGGCAAAGAAAGAAAGAAAAACACAGAGGAAAGCAGTGACAGAGAAAAATGGAAGCTATGAGCCATTGGTGGCTGCCATCCCCCCCCCCCCCTCACAAACCACCCTCAAAACAACACTACATCATCACGCAGCATAAAGTTTCTGAGGCAAAAAATGGCCACCGGAGGGCAGTGCTGCAGAGGGTGGTAAATACTGTAATGCCTTTACTCCAGAACAAAACAAACAAACAAACAAAGCTGGCATTTCATGGCCCAGCTGTTTCGTATGTTTTCTGAAAGAGATAGAATCTTACCCGTCGTTGTGGTTGTTGATGCTGTCGTTGTCGTCGTAGGGGGTGGGGTTGTTCCCCCTCCCCCTCCTGAGAGGAGACCACCAAGGCCTCCATTTCCTGAGAGGAGGCCACCAAGGCCTCCGTCCCCTCCTCCTCCTAAGTTGAGGGAGCCACCAGCGGATCCATCCCCTAAGTTGAGAGAGCCACCCGGGGCTCCGTTTTCCCCTCCTATGCTGAGGGAGTCACCTCCTCCTCCTAACAGCTGGGCAGCTGTTGAGAAAAGAGAACAAAAAATGTTGGTGAACCAGGTCAAGCACCCTCTCGCCTAGTTCAAGTCACAAACACACATAAATCCCAATTCTTTATAGAGAAATGATTGGGCCTTCATTCAGAACTGTACCAGAGACATCTCTGCTTTGCCACAGGTCGGCCTCTCTACCTCATGGACAAGAACACATGTTCTGTCTCATGTTCTGCTTCTCAGGAAGTCTCATGTCACAGAAGTTACCTTCTCCTCAAGCCTTGGTATGCCATAAAAACCTAGAGTAGCATTCTGGAGGTAGGCCATCCCAGGCTGAGCCTGTTGAACCAGCAAGCAGATTATCTGAAAGCAAGGACAGGGGATCTGAGGGCTTCCATGTGTTGATGGACTCCAATTCCCATCAACCCCCAACATGGCCAACGGTCTGGGATGATGGGAGTTGTAGTCCAGCAGCATCCGGGGCACCACAAGTTCTCCATTCCTGTCTTAAAGGATGGGATTGGAACATTTTCAGTAAAAATGGTGAGTATTAGGCTGTCAGACTTCAGAGTTTGCAACAGCTGAAATAGGTTTCTATTTCAGGGACGCAGGTGGCGCTGTGGGTTAAAGCCTCAGCACCTAGGACTTGCCGATCGAAAGGTCGGCGGTTCGAATCCCTGCGGCGGGGTGCGCTCCTGTCGTTCGGTCCCAGCGCCTGCCAACCTAGCAGTTCGAAAGCACCTTCGGGTGCAAGTAGATAAATAGGGACCGCTTACTAGCGGGAAGGTAAACGGTGTTCCGTGTGCTGCGCTGGCTTGCCAGAGCAGCGATGTCACGCTGGCCACGTGACCCGGAAGTGTCTGCGGACAGCACTGGCTCCCGGCCTATAGAGTGAGATGAGCGCACAACCCTAGAGTCTGGCAAGACTGGCCCGTACGGGCAGGGGTACCTTTACCTTTAGTTACCGTATTTTTTGCTCTATAAGACTCACTTTTTCCCTCCTAAAAAGTAAGGGGAAATGTGTGTGCGTCTTATGGAGCGAATGCAGGCTGCGCAGCTATCCCAGAAGCCAGAACACCAAGGGGGATCGCTGCTTTCGCTGCACAGTGATTCCTCTTGTTGTTCTGGCTTCTAGGATTCAGAATATTTTTTTTGTTTGTTTTCCTCCTCCAGAAACTAGGTGCTTCTTATGGTCTGGTGCATCTTATAGAGAGAAAAATACGGTACTTCTTCTGCAGAAGCTTAGATCCGAGATAATCAAGCTGCTCAGTGGCTTTGGATCTTTGTCATTCAGTTTTATCAAAATCTTAAGAATAAAGGTTGCAAGATAACTGAACTGTGATTGGGTTTTAAGGTCCAAGAAAGTAAGGAACAAGCTCCACCCCAAATTGAATTGGATAGGCAATGGAAATAAGCCAAGCTATTTCCCCAAAATACTTTCCTGAACCAATCTGATTTTGGAAACATAAATGGCCCACACTTCATTTTAAGAGATTAATTTGGTATTCAGGTGGTCCCCTGCCCAAGTAGTTTTGCAGAGCCAACCCCTTGTGCCCATATTCCTTATACTTTTTGATTCCTGGGCGTCAGCAGATTTTAAATCATCACCCGCTGACTGGCATTAGGACTGAACTGAACACTGGCCAGCAAGCCAAAATACTAGTTGGGCTCGTTTACAGTGTATGACTGACTAAGCATGAAGTTGGGTAGTTGGTTTGTTTAGTTAGTTAACACTTTTCTGCACTGCCTTTCTGCTCTAGGGTGGTTCATGAGGAACAACAAAAAACAACGGCCAAAAAGCACAGAACAAGAAGCAACCATAACAAACCACAGGCGGAACCGCCTCTTGTCATGAACACCCAGCTCCTGTCATCCAGAGATTAACTATTGCTAAATCTTTTGGCAGAAATTTTAACACCATGCTTCGGATGGCTATATAAGGATCCCAGAGGCAGTGTTTCACAAGCTAGTATGAAGGACCCTTGATGGGATGCTTCAGCCTCTGTTAAAATGTAGGCTGCCCCTGGTTCCATGAATAGTAGGGAGGTTTGTAGGATTGGTTTTTGAGCAAAAAACCTAGGATTTGGGAAGCCAATTTCCCCAAAACTCTCTTAATGGTCAGACGTTTTCATCTCTTGTCGTTGCTGTTTGTTCACGATTCTCTCGCATTTTGTATGTTATCCACCTTCTGGCGAAGGCTTTTTCCTCCTTCTTGGAATGCTCGGAACCAGTCAAGGGTCACATAGTGAATATGACAATGTCTCAGCTATGTAGCTACAACTAATTCAGAATGCGGCAGCTAGACTGGTGACTGGGAGCAGCCGCCGAGACCACATCACACCGGTCTTGAAAGACCCACATTGGCTCCCAGTACGTTTCCGAGCACAATTCAAAGTGTTGGTGCTGACCTTTAAAGTCCTAAATGGCCTCAGCCCAGTATGGAGCGCCTCCACCTCCATCATCCAACCCGGACACTGAGGTCCAGCGCCGAGGGCCTTCTGGCAGTTCCCTCACTGTGAGAAGTGAAGTTACAGGGAACCAGGCAGAGGGCCATCTTGGTAGTGGCACCCACCCTGTGGAACACCCTCCCATCAGATGTCAAAGAAATAAACAACTCTCTTACATTTAGAAGACATCTGAAGGCAGCCTTGTTTAGGGAAGTTTTTAATGACTGATGTTTTAATGGATTTTTAATCTTTTGTTGGAAGCTGCCCAGAGTGGCTGGGGAACCCAGCCAGATGGGCGGGGTAGAAATAATAAATTATTATTATTATTATTATTAGCCAATCAGAGTTAGCTATACAATGATGTTACAGTGGGCAAATATCTCTGAATTGAGAATGTGGGCGATGCTTCCTGAACTGGCCATATGAATGACCCCTGTCATTTGGTTTGTTGGATTTCCTTTGCTCTGTATAGGTGAACACAATCTCTATCTTTAAGCATCCTGTCCCCAAATAATCTAAAATGGGGCACCCTCTACTCCCCATGGAGAGGGGAGTAGAATGGCCTTCAGGATAGAAACAGCAGGCACAGCTAGAACTAAGCAACTCTATGCCACCCCTAGAAATAGCAGCAAATTTCTCCCCTAGAAATAGCAGCAAATTCAAGTTTGGAAACACCTGGTTGATGTCTAGAAAGCAACATGTAGTTCTGCCTTCAAGGAAGCTAGATTTTGGGTGCACCTCTTAGCTTTCTCAAACTGCCTGTAGTTTCTTATCCTTATCACAGGGTAGGGGTGCCAACTTGAATAAAATAATGGGGGGCAGGTGAGCCCCACCCTGCACAATCATTCGCATGATGTGGCAGATGCATGCTATTTGAATGGCAACGCCCATCAACTGTGAGAGCAGCCAGCTCTTCAAATATTTTTTGTGGGGGGCGAAGGGACCTTGGCACCTAGGAGCTGGCTCCTTGTCACTGGGCCGTTTGAGGCTAGAGGGGAAGATGGGGAAACCATGCACATCTCCCTGAGTTCCTTGGAGCAAAGGTAGGATGGAAATGTAATAATAAACAATAAGACAATAGCATTGTTTATGTGTCACATTTGCCCACGAATCTGCAGGCTTCAGGTAGGTCAGAACAGGTAGCACGGAGGACAAAAAATAATAATACTGAATTGAACCAGCCCTTTTTGATCATTTACCAATATGAGGCTTTGTTATTTTGTCCTATATACCCAGCAAACTACCTGGGACGCGGGTGGCGCTGTGGCCTAAACCACAGAGCCTAGGGCTTGCCGATCAGAAGGTCGGCGGTTTGAATCCCTGTGACGGGGTGAGCTTCCGTTGCTCGGTCCCTGCTCCTGCCCACCTAGCAGTTCAAAAGCACGTCAAAGTGCAAGTAGATAAATAGGTACCACTCTGGTGGGAAGGTAAACGGCATTTCCGTGTGCTGCTCTGGTTCGCCAGAAGCGGCTTAGTCATGCTGGCAACATGACCCGGAAGCTGTACGCCTGCTCCCTTGGCCAATAAAGCGAGATGAGCGCTGCAACCCCAGAGTCAGCCACGACTGGACCTAACGGTCAGGGGTCCCCTTACCTTTACCTTTAGCCAGCAAACTACCTCTGGAACAAATGTAACTAACATGGATTAACCACAGCAATGGATAGAAAAAGTCTTACCTGTTCCTTGAAAGCACAGAGCAAAACATATGAGCACATTTCTCAAAAGAGGCACAAATGACATCTTGGACAGGCCCATGGCTGGCATGAAGAAAGGAGACGGGCAGCTGGCTCTCAGACGTGATGGTGGTAGTTTCAGGTCTTCTGGGTTCCTGCAGGCTTCTGCTGCTTAAATACTTCTGAACAAAGTGACTCCTCACATCCAGCTAACCAGTTCAGGCTGTCATCACAAGATTGGTTTGCTGACATACATTTTGCACAACAGGATCCTTTTCCATGTGTTTTCGTAAGGAAAAAGCCAAAACCCTACTGTCCACTCATTCGAAAAAGGCGGATGTAACAGGAAACTGACGCACTCATCCACCTAGATATTAGGGATCAAGAAAAATCACTCTGCGGGAATTTTGGGAAGTGATGTGCTGGAACATTGGGAAGAACACCGGTAAAAGAAAACCCAACCCTGTGAAAATTTGGGATTTTGTTCTTAGAGAACACAGAGTCCCATTGTGCTAGGCTAGCAGGATTTCATGCAGCTCAGTTGGCAGAGCATGAGACTCTCTTAAAACTCGGGGTTGTGGGTTTGAGCCCCATATTGGACAAAAGATCCCCACATTGCAAGGGGTTGGGCTAGATGACTATTGTGGTCCCTTCTAACTATACAGTTCTGTGATTCTAACTCTGCCTGTACTGTGTTGCATTCGCTTTTGAATGCCAGTTGCTGGAATCACAAGTGTTGCATTCAGATCCTGCTTTCGAGACTCCGACAGGCATCTGGTTGGTCACTGTGAGAACAGGATGATGAATCCCATCTAGGATTGGCCATTGGCCTGATCCAGCACGCTCTTTTTCGTTCTTATGGACACAACCCATAGCTTGTACCACTAGGAGAGAGCTAGTTCACAGCCCAATGAGGCCTAGAGCTCGACAACTGCTTTGTAAAAGTAAAGGGATCCGTGACCATTCGGTCCAGTCGTGACCGGCTCTGGGGTTGTGGCACTCATCTCGCTTTATTGGCCGAGGGAGCCAGCGTACAGCTTCCGGGTCATGTGGCCAGCATGACTAAGCCGCTTCTGGCGAACCAGAGCAGCGCACGGAAACGCCGTTTACCTTCCCACCAGAGTGGTACCTATTTATCTACTTGCACTTTGACGTGCTTTCGAACTGCTAGGTTGGCAGGAGCAGGGACCGAGCAACGGGAGCTCACCCTGTCGCGGGGATTCGAACCGCCAACCTTCTGATCAGCAAGTCCT